TGGTATCGAAGTTATGGATGCGTAAATATCTACCTACCAGTTTTTGTTCACGCGTTCGCAAATAATTAATTTAAAATGTATAATAAAACTATAATGAAAACTAACTAACTACGGTATCGTCAACTGTGACGTCATAACGCGTAGTGGGATAAAAAGTAAAGGAAAAGTAGCCTATATGTTGCCCAGGGTCATTAACTATTTTCATTTCAAATTTTAATTGGCATTTAGCAATTAGTTTAGTAGATTTTGCTTGAATCTATACATATAATAAATCTGTAGAAAAGTCGTGTCTGTACTTCTAATATATTCTTGAAAAACAAGTCCAAGGGACTAAATAAAGGGTTCTGAAGCTAAATTAGTGATTTTTAGAATTTTTGTCTGTCTGTCTTTCTGTCTGTCTGTCTGTCTGTGTATTCCGGATTCACGCATAACTATTGAACCGATTTACATGAAATTTTGTATGTAGGTAATCAGTAACCCGGGGCAACTTATAGGCTTATAACTTTTTATCCGATTACGGAACTTCAAAAAAGGAATGTTAAATATTTTATTGCCTTTAGATGTTAATTTTCTATTATATCTTAGTTATAGGCGGGATGACGGATGTTTTTCAAATAAATACCATATGTGTAAATAAAGTTTAAAATATTGTTATAATCTTGGTATAATAATTTGAAACTACACCGATTTGGTATTCAAAACAGCGCCATCTATCATCAAATGGAAAAATTTGTATATTTTGCGTTCAGTTACTAATAAATAAAATAATATAAATAACTTACATTTATATGATTAAATGATTAGATTCTTAAACTTATTAAAAAATTCAAACGTTTAGTTTTTTAGTATTTTTGTTATTTTATATTAAAAGTGTAATAATTTCAATAGATAATAGTGATGTCTATCAAAAATATGAAAATTGATAAGGTATTTAATTCAATTACTAATATATATGTAAAGTGATCAAAACTGGTCTGTCTGCAATTATAGCAAAATATTAATTATCATTATAGTTTTATTAAAGAGATTTTTATGTATGTCGTGGCCAGATCGTAGAACTGATCATATATCATAAAGTAGTCTATCATTTCGTGAAATGGTGTGGTCATTTCATGATATTTAACACAATTTGTTGACCATGTCATGATATAGCTTGACCAAATCAATGAATAGAAATTGTTTGAAGATATTAATAATTAAACACAACGTGACTATTTCATAATATGGTCATATGACGATACCATTAAATCGTTGTTCACCGCTAGCGGCGCTGATAGCGTATTTTTAAGAGAAATAGAACTTTTAAGTGAATTGACATCACTTTATCCCTTATTGATATAATAAATAAATGTTCGCTTCTATTGCTGATATTAATAGATGGTATAGTTTTGGCTTCATTATTTCATCTAATATTAGCGCCACCTACTTACTTCTAAATAAACTAAAATGGCAAGTCATTGATAAAATTAAATAATACGATGCTACTGAATATACGATGTAAATAATTGAATAATTTATATAACATTCATCATCATCATTACAGCCCTTTACAAGTCCACTGCTGAACATAGGCCTCCACCAAGGAATGCCACAAAGCACGGTCCTGAGCCACCTGCATCTATCGACTTTCTGCATATCTTACCAGGTCGGCACTCCATCTAGTGGGGGGACGTCCTACACTTCGTCCGCCGGTACTTGGGAACCTTTTTTCGCCATCGGTTGTCGGTTCTTCGAGCTATATGGCCGGCCCATTGCCACTTCAGTTTACTAATCCGTTGGGCTATGTCGGTAACTCTGGTTCTACTACGGATATCCCACGGAAACTCTACTCCATAGCTCGCTGAGCGACCTTGAGCTTCCATACGGCCAGCAGTGAAGGACCACGTCTCCGTTCCATAGGACATCACTGGCAACACGCACTGATTGTACAGTCTCGTTTTCAAGTTTTGAGGTATACCTGACGAGAAGATGTGCCGTAATTTCCGGAATGCTGCCGAACCGAGTTGAATCCATCGATTGACCTCTCGGTCGAAGTTGGACTTACCTAGTCTGACTATTTGGCCCAGGTAAACATACTCGTCAACAACTTCGAGCTTAGTGTTCCCAACAACTACCGGCATAGGTGTGATATGGACATTAAACATGATCTTTGTTTTGTCCATGGTCATCTTAAGACATATCCGTTGGGAAACACTATTGAGGTCATTGAGCATAGTGCTTAGGTCCTCCAGCGATTCTGCCATAAGGACTATATCTTCGGCAAATCGAAGGTGAGTGATGTACTCGCCATTGATGTTAGTACCGTATCCTTTCCAGTCCAGAAGCTTGAAAACGTCTTCCAAAGCAGCGGTGAAGAGTTTCGGGTATATAACGTCACCCTGTCTTACACCTCTCTGCAATTGGATAGGTTTCGTACTCTGGTTCTGTACTCGGATAGCCATCGTAGCTCTACTGTACAAACACTTCAGCACTTCGATATACCGACAGTCAACTTGGCATCGCTGAAGTGACTGCAGCACCGCCCAAATTTCGACGTAATCAAAGGCTTTCTCATAGGCCACATACGCCAGACATAGTGGCGAATTGTACTCCTCGGACTTCTGTACAATTTATCGAAGGGTACGTATATGGTCTATGGTGCTAAAACCTTTTCGGAAACCGGCTTGTTCGGGAGGATGGACGTCGTCAAGTCTGCGCGCGTGACGATTCGTAATGACTCTCGAAAACAGCATATAGACGCGGCTCAGAAGGGAAATCGGTCTGTAGTTCTTCAAGAGAGCATTGCCCCCTTTCTTGAAGAACAAGACCACCGCACTTCTGCTCCACGCCTCCGGTGTAATGCCACCCTTGAGGACGGAATTAAAGAGCTTCTGAAGGACTTCAAGTACCGGTTTTCCACCCGCTTTCAGAAGCTCCACTGTAATTCCATCCTCGCCTGGGGCCTTGCCGTTTTTAAGGTGCTGGAGAGCCATTCTAATTTCGCTTAGACTGACGTCCGGGATATCATCGGAATAGTGTCGGATAAGACTCGCTCTTGGATCGTTACTCACACTTAGGTGTGCAGCTGCCCATAAAACCTCTAAATCTCACTTAAGATCTCAGGTGTCCCGGAAACGACGCTGCCTCACTTGGTCTTCAGCTTCGACAGTTGGCTCTTTCTGGCAGACAGATTTCTAGCAAAGACTTTGGAGCCCTGGTTCCGCTCGATTACATTCATCCAAAGTTGGAATCAGCGCAGCGAGCACTTTTTTGGCCAAAAACTGCGGCCTGTGCCCAGTAGTAACATGTATGTAAACATGTTACTACTGGGCACAGGCCGCTGCTACTTTTCTGCTTTTCATGGGGCAATATATGCAGTTTTATTTCATTCGTATTTTCGGGTATGTTACTTTTTGTTTTCACCCTGCCGTAAATATTAAGGCTTACAAAGATGAGAAGAACTCATTATGGTCAGCCTATCAAAAGGCCACTGAGATGAACATAGGCCTCCCCCATAAATTGTGAAGTAGCTGGATATTTGCTATAGTTGCCACGCTTGGCAGGCGGGTTGGCAACCTCAGCTATTATTATTTTGATCTGTTGTCAAGAAGATGATGCAGACCACCCCATCTCCAGTTTGTTTTCCTATGTCGCCTCTTACGACGGTACGATATGAGGTGGTGGATTTTCTTTCACCGCCACAACAGAGCGAACATTTTCCTACTCCTGTTCATGAGTGTAGTGCTCCTCACATTCACTGTGAATAAAATTTATAAGGAATAAAACTAATTTTAAGGATTTTATCGCGATTAATTTTAACTTTTTAAATTCCCGATGTTTTGGACACTTTACAGCACCCATGGCCACGGGAGGGGCGGGAGAACTGAGGTGTTTGACGACTTGATGTCATATTTAAAATAGAATAGAATAAATGCAGTAGTAGTTTGAATTTTATTTTATTAATTATGGGGTCCTTAGCAGATGGTAGCAGTCAGCCATCTTCCCTATTAAAATTAGGATATTTTTAATTTTAATAGCCTCGCGATCATTGGTAGGATTCGGTGTTCTATTGCAAGGATTTGTTGTCTATCAGATCCGATATAATGTTTGGGCCGATACTAAACATGTTGACATACTTTAGACGTCCCGGAGCTTCGGTGCTTTACATAAACGATATGTTCTTTTACTCGGAACTTTCATCCAAGATGCGTAAAAAACCCGTAACATTTTTTTTAATCCATGTGTAGTATTTATTATTATAGAACTATATTTATGAAATTTTGAAGTCTACTTGCAGGAAAAAAAAATATCTACATCTAATTTATGGTGCCAATCAATATTAAATAGGACCAATGATATGAATAAAATGTCTCAAGTAAACATTATATTACTTTGTTAAAACTTAATTAACTTTTAACTATGAATAAATGTAAAGAGTAAAATGTAAATAATAATAATACATTTTGATTTCAAGACTATTTACTTTTCTTATGGATATATCGGAATCGGAAGACACGCCCGATATAAAAAAATAGTAGGTGTTTCACGTGTTTCTGTAGCATGTTACCAATCATCTACGTCTAATAGTATTTTAGAATGAAAAAAATCTTTGACAGACATAGAGACATAGACACCGAGGTGACTCTAAAAGTGATCGAATTTTTCTAAATTTGGCATGGAACCAACGGAACAGCATTTAATGATGTTCCTAAATTCAAGCGCACGCGAGCGAAGCTGCGGGTAAAAAGCTAGTCATGAATAAACATACGGACAGACAACAAACATCTTAAACTCACTTTCAACTTGATGTTTACAGAAAAATTACAGAATGTTAATATTAATATGTTATATAGCTATTCATTACTTGAGAAGGGCTGTTAGTCTAACAATGATGATGATGTAATAGTGTAAGTTAATTAATCACCAATAAGTGCAAGTTACAATAAAATAAAAAAGTAATTCTGACGTTTATTCCAGTTAGTAATCAAAATTTAAATTTAAATCACAATAGAAGTATAAAGTTATCCAAAAGAAGTCATATCACGTAAAAAGGCACGGCTACCGTCCGGATTATCCCTTGGTACCTGTACAAAGAAAAATGATAGGAATTAAATCTTCAGAACAGTTGTTTTCGTAGTCCTAACTAAAATAATAATTTCTGTTCAAATGTCTCAAACGACATTGTCCTTTACAACTCCAACTAATTAAGTTAGGTAAAATTTCGTAACGAACGAAAAATAATTATGTAAATCTAATTTGAACCTTAACAGCGTAGCGAGACCTTATAAATAACCTTTCGTGAAACATCTTTGTTACAAAAGGTCTCGGGTAAAATTTTAATAACCTATAGCAAACTAAAGTAGATTAAAGAATACTAGCATTATTAATGCCAATTACTTTTCTAGTTACAGGATTTCTTATTACAGGATTACTTATTAGTTATCCTATAAGTATGTCCCGCACCCAATAAGTATGTTTTTAAAAAAATGGTCCGTAATCATCTATTGAAGACAAAGCATTTTACTTGATTCATCCATTTGATATATATTGCTAAACAGACGCATATATTCATAGGTATTAGTATGTACTAATTATATATTATGTATTTATATATGTATATTTGTATGTATATATTTGAATATATGTTTGTATACGTCATATATGTATAGTTTATTTCTTAGTAAATTGTATGTATTATGTAGTTAATTATTATTTTGTGTACTGTTATTTTATTCTATATTGCCGCACCTACGTCAAATTCTCACCACTCCATGGGTTGACTGGTAGAGAATGCCTCAAGGCATTAAGTCCGCCCTTTGTATTCTTTTGTTTTAAGGAATGCAATAAAGAATAAATAAATAAATAAATATCCTGTAATAAGTTATGTCTAGTACTAAATTTCTTATTAACATTAAAACTTGCATTAGGTGCAGTGAGATGAGCCCCCGAACGGGTTCCCGCTTTTTCGTGGCAAGGGCTTAGTAGCTATAGGTTGGTTACCCGCGGTGAACAAAGTTGAACTCACTTGGCTCGCCTAAGGTGGCCGTTCTAAGCGGGCTTGCCAAGCCCACTTCGGATGAATGCTGGTGGTTGTGGTTAGAGGTGCGCCGTTTCGACCTTTTCGACCACAGCCGAAGAAGAGCCGTGGGGTAAGAGGAGTGTTGGTATGGTGATACGGCACGCGCTCTTTCCTCCGTAACATGTTCACCGTTGATGCGGTGGAGGCGGGTTTGAGGGGGACGAAGAGTATCTTTATTACACAGCCCCGTTCTTCCTACCCTACCGCATTCCAAACTTTTTCCCTTAACTCCTCTTCCCAGTACTTGTCGTTTTTGAACCCATGGCTTGGGAGTACCAGACTCAGGGAACGGAGAGGGGTCCAAGCGGAGGTAGGGAGGCAACGGAGGAAAGCGCGCCTTGTGTTCTGTTGCCTCACCTGAGAAGGAAAAGAGGTAGGAGTCCCACTTCCGAGGAAGGGCCGTCATATACCAGCTGGCACTAGTGGGGACTCAAATTCGTGCGAAACTATTGCCGTGGCTCTATCAATACGCGGCAGATGTGGAACACCATGGAATTTTAGTCGGTGCGATCTGTCTTTGCCTTGTCCCATATAAAAAAGGATTATTGAAATATTTCAAATTTGAAATCGAATTTTAGACTGAGATTTCAATTATGACGTCTAGCCTTGGCAGTGGGCCTGCAAGCCCCTGTGTGTTTCCCGAACTCAATCGTAAGCTGTGGTTCGAGTGTTCAATCACCCTGTTACGGCCCACACATTATTTGTTCACCGAAGGTAGTTTTTTTTTAACTTATTATAAGCCAATGCTTGACCACAATCCCACCTGGTGGTAAGTGGTGATGCAGCCCTAGATGATGAATCACACTATCTTAGCGTAACAAAAGCCTATCCACTCTTGCCTTGAAGACGCCCAGATTGTATTCGGACGGAAAGATACATAGATGCCGCCAAATTTTTCCACTCCTTTGTTGTACGCATTACAAAAGACGAAGCAAACCGTTTGGTTCTAATGCGTGGAATATCCACACCAAAGGGATGAAGACCCGCCGACCGCCTGGTTATCCGATGGTGGAAAGGAGAGGGAGGAATTAAAGCGTGTAATTCCTGCGCACACTCACTTAAATGCATCCTATAGAATACCGAGAGACTGGCTACTTTGCGCCTGTGCTCGAGGCTGATAAGATTGGTTTCAACCAAATCAAGGTCACCAATGAGCTTCTTAGAACGTCTCTCCACTGAGTTCAACGCTGCCAGGTGGCATTTTGCAGCACCAGCCTATATGTGATAGCAGTGCTCTATGTATGATCGGACTTGCACTTTATATAAGGTAAGAAGCTGCCCCGACGTGAAGTACTGCCGCACCCTTGCAAGGACACCAAGTTTCATTGTGGCTGCTTTGGATCTGGACTCAATGAACAGCCCATAGTTCAGGTTCGGAGAAAATTCAAGCCCTAACAACTGAAGGCGGTCAGTGTACTCCAAGGATACATTCCGGAAAGTAGGAGCCAAGATGAGCGGGCTCCTTTTAGCGGTGAAAAGACACGCTTGAGTTTTGGAGGCGTTAAATCTCATGAGATTGGCATCGCTCCATTCGGAGACTACCTGTAGTGTGAGATTCACACGCTCAACCATAGCTTCTCTTTCTGACTGGTTTTGATCCCGACTGGCCAAGACACTTGGTTGGTATCTCTCTACAACTATGCTGTCGTCTGCATACCCATACCGGGAATGATTGACAATTCAAGCGGTATGCAATATGACGCAGCAGTCTCTTTAGTTTTCTCTCAATTGATTAAATGGATTTTATAGCGAGGACTCCAAATTAGGCTGCTGTAATCTAGTTTGATCCTAACCAGGCTATTAAACAGTTATATCGTAAGTAGAGGTCTGCCTGAACTCTTTGGAATTTTTCAACACAAAACACAATATCTTTGTTGCTGAAGTAATTATATTGTCGATATGGGTGTTGAATATTAATTCGCTGTCTAGTATAACGCCTAGGTCACGAATGGCTCGAACTACAGTCAATTTGTCTAATAATATTGACTCTGCACAATTTTCTTTTCTTGTATTGAGGTTGTACACTTATATATAAATATAGGCGGAGCATTGTTTGGCCTAGCACTTTGAGATTTATCAAGTCTTTTTAGTTGTTTTTTTCAACTTCTCTCTTGAAGAAGTAAATCTTGTCTAAATAATATTTGGATTTACAAATTGATTGCAGAGGAATAATTTATAGTATAGATTTTATATCACCCCTCAGTTGTGCAAAGAGATATTGATGAGTAATAAAGTTATACCAATTTTTGTGAGAACCGATAAGATCTAGTTGCATTCCCTTTCGACTCAGTCGATTTTAAATATCTATCAATAGGAAACTGAATACTGCTTAATTTATTAACTCTGTTTTGAGCATACTTTGTTTGATACCTTGTCACAGCTTGTGTGTAGCGGGTCAAAGTTGATACTTTATTTATTTAATACTTACACTGTGACCCGCTACATTAATCCAGAAAAATCTGAAGTTTCCGTATGACTTATAGTATCCTTCCAGGCGATCATTTTCCCAAATAGGCATTCGGGGTGCCTTTTTGTATTCCTCTGCTCCAGCCCATTTAAGTCTATCGACCCATAGTATTTGACCTGCAAATGATTAAGTATATTTATTTACAGATACTTTATGTCACACGCTTTTCGAGCAAGTGGTGAGCTCATTTCCATATCCATCTGCTCGAAAACCTTTACTGTTTTAGACAAAAATTTACAAATAAATTGTTTAAATGTAGGTCTTCATATATATAGAATTATTTCTTATTCATATAGAAGATAGTACAAATATAAACGTATATTTATTTACAGCTCTTTGTAAACAATGATACAAAAAACAAACCAACATAGCCCAACGGATCAGGTCGTTTAAATGGCAATGTGCCTGCCACATTGCTTGAATAATCGACGGTAAGACATGCAGGAAGCCGATGGACATAGGTAGCTCAGAAACTTGTTTTGTATCGTTCCTTGGAAGAGGCGTATTTTCTGCAGTGGACTAGTTAAGGGCTGTAATGGTGATATTGATGCCGATTTCATTATTACATCTTTCTATTTTTTACGTAACTTCTTTATTGAATCAAACTTTAGTTTAAGCCTAAGACTAATCATAAACTACTTATTGTAATAAGACGGAAAACGTTTAACAAGGTCTGGTTTAATATGCTTGTAATTTCCCTATCAAGATGGGCTGTTGCCGACATCAATCAAGTTCATTGATGTCGCTAACTACGTACATTGCGCAAAATTTCCGAACTAAAGAGCACGTTTATTGCGAATTTCCGCATCTGAAACAGATAGAACGACACGTGAGGGATTTATTAATAAAGCTCATTTATTGGAAAATATTTCTTAACATTAAATATAAAAACATATAACTTAGATCTTTCAAATCGGATAAACAATGATATGATATAATTTAGGTTCGTTTGTTTATTACATTAAATTAACATGTTAAGATTAATTAGTTAAACTCCGCGTAATTTCTATTAATTATATTATACAAACTAGCTGTTCCCCGCGACTTCGCCCGCGTGTAATTTTGGGTTTTAATTTTTTTGCGCGGTACTCCTAACTCTTTTTCTGAAATAAAAATAGCCTAAATTTCTACTTATAATAGCTATCTGCTAGTGAAAGTCCCGTCAAAATCGGTCCAGCCAGATTATTTCTTTTTTTGGGAGATTAGCAGGAACAGACAGGCAGACAGACAAACATTTAAAAAAATTGTGTTTTTGTTATATATACTGTATAAATTTTCATATTCATTTAGTAAAATGCTGTTATTTTGACATTACAAACAGACACTTCAATTTTATTTATTTGTATAGATGTTTATGAAATTTACACGCCTGTCACCCAGAGGGGTAGGCAGAGACTACACTCTTCTTTTTGATATGATACTGAAACACCTCCCTCACCTTTTTCAGATGCCTATATCTACGCATACATGCTTGTCTGTTAAGGGAACTCTTAACTTGGACTATCTTCAATATATCAACATTTTTTCTTGGGTTTTCCTTCAACTTTGTCTAGAATGTCTCATGCTGACTCTGCCTATCAGTTTTGCAGCATAAATTTGCTTTGCCACACTATCCGCATTAAGTCTTTCTGGGTTTGTATATTAATAAACCCGATTTTTTTATATAAAGTGAAATATTAAATTTCACAAGTTTTGTTACCACCTCTTCTTCTTACAGTGCTCGGAAGTTGTAGCCAAGGTCGAAGTCGGTTAGGAGGACATCTTCTTAAAACATTTGCTTATAGATTTCTTAAATCTTTACTAATAAATTGTGTGCTAAGCTAGCTAAGCATAAAAATAAACTGTGGAAATTTCTTTAACATTTTAAGTAAATAGAAACTTACCTGGGGTGTCGCAAATAAGGTCAAGGTTCCCGTTGTATTTCGTAAGGATAATATCTGTCTCGTTTAATAACTTTTCAACTGAAATAAAGGAATGCTAAATAATATAGTTATTTTTTTTAATATTTTTGTAAACATTGAAAGTATTTTGTTCTATCTTGCTTGATTTTGTGTGCCAAATAAATATATTTATTTCTTTCTATGTTATGCATGTTCGAGTAAAAATCGAAGTTCGTTTCGAAATCGAATGTTGATTAGAAAGTGGTTGGATATAATAGACTTAGAGGGACGTTTTTTAAACATATTTCATTTTACAATAACTTTGTTTGTACAAATTTTAAATGAATTTTAATAGAACCAGCATGATGGCGATCACCTCATTTCCAGGCTCTTTTTCATTTATGTGTTCTTTGATATTATAATAACCCTTTTTGTACAATTTTTCTGTAATAAAACATTTAAACTTGTTCATTGACTTGTCTGAGATTTGGTTGTAAAAGCCTATAAATTGCCTCATAAATGAATTACTAATTCTGTGGAGTCTAATAACTGGTATCACAACCTTATGTTTGTTTGTATTGTTTAAAATATGAACATATTTATTCTTATCATAGCTATTTAAGTTTTTATGTACACACATTAAATTTTCATAAATATATTGCGATTACGAAGATAATGTATTTATTTCTTTAAATTTTTCTCTAAGGACTCACGCCCGGACGACTCTCTTTTGCAAAACAATATGGCTTCGATGTCAGTTGCATTACCATTGAAGGCCCCATTGAAGCTTCGCGTCAATAATAATACCAAGAAAAACTGTGGTATCCACAAAACAACTCTTTCCAATTTAAGAGCACATTGGTATTTGAAACATTAGGTATTGTAAATTTAATACATTTGGTCTTATTGTCGTTTAAGAGCAAATTGTTGGCGTTAAACCAATGTACTAATTTCGATAGAACATTATTCACATTTTTAAAATTAATTGACTGTCGTTTGAGTTTGAAAATTAAAGATCAGCAAATAATACTATATCGTGACTGTCCCCTACAAGATACGATAAGTCATTAATATAGACTAAGAACAGGAATGGGCCAAGAATCGAGCCTTGAGGAATGGCCATTGATACTACTGATCTGGAGAAACCTTTACCATTGGTAACGATTTCTTGAGTTTTCTAATATTTTTGACATCGTAATGTTGTAGTTTGCTGATGATGAACACAATTGAAAGCCTTGGAAAGATCATAAAAAATACCTGAGGCATCTTGTAAACTCTCTCAGGCATTAAAATATATTTCATAAACTCAACAAATGCGTCAGCCGTCGAGCGACCACGTTTGAAATTAAATTGAATTTTATTGATGACTAGCTGCACCCCGCGATTTCGCCCGCGTGGAGCTATTTTTTGCGGAACCCTAAAATAAAAGCAGCCCAAGTTACTCCTTATAACATCAGCTATTTGCCAGTGTGTATAAATATTGACAAATATTGACATTAATATTTATACGATACTAACGTCACTCAATTGTTTTGCCTTCCCGCAACCCCTCCACTAACACTCTTACTTTATGGTATGGTATTAAAGTTCAAATTGACTTTTAAGTATTATTACGAATCTTTTGTATGGGAATATAGAAAAGTGTTGTTTTTAGATTTTTTCAGATTTTTTTAAAATTGTTCTCTCCGTAAGAACCATCTTTGTACTTCATGGAATATTATAAAAAAAGAATTAGCGAAATCGGTTCAGCTGCTCTCGAGATTTGCGCTTAGCAACACATTCAGCGATTCATTTTAATATTATAGATATTATTAAAAAAAATAACAATTGATCTCAAATTATCTTCTCAAAAATTTTACTGAGAGTTGGTAGTACAGAAATAGGTCCAAAATTAGCGGAGTCCCATGTACTACCAGATTTAAATAAAGGTATTACTTTACTATGTTTCATTAAATCAGGAAACACACCAGATTTATTTTATTTTATTATTTTTAATACGAGCATCGCTCGTATTAAACAAGCGTATATATATATATATATATATATATATATATATATATATATATATATATATATAATATATATATATATATATATATATAAAAGATTTAAAAAGGGCGAACATAATGTATTTAGGCATGAGAAAATGTGGCAGACGCAAGTTTCCATTCATCCATTTAGCCATTACAGAACATAGTCCTCCCCATATATTGCCACGTAGGGGCGATATTTAACACAGCTGCCACGCTTGGGGGGTTGGCTACACGTAGACTACAGTTTTTATTATTTTGAGAGAGCTGCTTATTAAATTAAAATATTGGTAACATTGTAATAGAGTATACATGGTTGATAATAACCCCTAGGAATGAGGTGGTCGCTTCCAAGCTGTAAAATTTATTTAAAAAAAAGTCTCGCTGGGTTTCTTGCTGGTTCTTCCCAGGACAGACGATTTTTTTCGAACCAGTGCTAATGTAAAAAAATGACTTTTAATAAGAACTACTTGTAATCAATATTGAATAAATATTATTCTATTCTATTCTATTCTAGTAAGTAAAATTCTAAGAAATTACCACATCTCCCACTTATCTCTACCTTCAATAGTAAAGGGATGGCGATGTAAAGCCTGAATAATTACAGTGAGGCAACAAGTTATCAAAAAAAATGGCACATACATATTATAATTAAATGTAATTAAACATTGAAAAAAAAATGTCTTGACTTGTTATATAAAATACGAAGAAACTTTTTCCGCGACCTTATACTATGCACTTACTTCCGTCGGTAACTGGTTTCATGAAATCGCCATTTTGGTAATCGAATACGGCGTTAGACAGAGAGCCCCAAACAACGTGGTCAGGTATATTGAGTGCCGCCTTCACTTGCGTATTCATTAGAGTATTAAGATCAATTTCGTCTTGCCTGGCAGTTGATAGAAAGGGCCTGTCACGAATTAGAAAATCCCTTGCAGCCTCTATAAAGATTTCACATTTAGTTATGCGAGAGAATTACAAGTAGAGAAGTAGCGTTTTATTTGTATTTTAATATATTTTCCATTATATTTTACATCATGTTTATTGTCTTTATGTTTTGCTAACAGTTTACTGTCAAAAACATTATATTTTAAGTAAAAAAACTATACATAATGTCTGCTTCTGTGTTAGTACAATAAACATTTCTGTGTTGCATTTCTTGAAAAAAGTCATTTTTATTTGACGTATAACTTCAAAATGAATGTTTACTTTAATGTCTAGAGTATAAATACGGATTATACATATTCGAAGTTTTAATCGGAACCGAATCAGCACTTTTTTTAAATGAATATTTTTACGAAAATGCTGTGAAAAAAGCCTACAATAAGTATCTTTAAACTTAATTAGTCATTAGTTTCCAGTTTCTAGGATACCTCGAATTTGTAAATAATCGCCAAATCCATGTCTAGGCTCTTTCCTATTTGTTTTAGAACGGTTATTTTAATGGTAATTCAATAATGTTTTTAATTTTATTTTTTTTTATACGTGGTAGATTTTTATACATGGTAGAGCAATGCTGCAGCTATATTAATAGTATAGTTGTAGCACGAATGGGTCGGCTCGACCGGGGAAGGACCACGCTCTCACAGAATACCTGCGTAAAATAGCAGCTTGACACTGCTGTGTTTCCTATGGTGAGTGTAGAGAACCGGAGACCTTTTTTACTGTTTTGCCGGAGAAGTATATTTACTATTATATTTAATACAATGTTAGATAAATATAATACTAAAGTATATTTACTATTATCTTTATAAAATATTGCAACAATTATTAAAATTTTTGTTTAGTTAAAAAAATGTGTACCATAATCACTTTTCGAGGTGTCTGGTTGTGTTACGGCCATTTTTGTCAAAATATTGTAGAAATCAACACTTGTAGTTGCATCGAACACTGCCCGTTGCGTTCGTGCCCACTGTCGTGTTGCATTAACGTATAATCCATTCTTAAATAATCTTTCAGCTTCGCGAGCTTCTCGCTGAATACTCATGTACCCATCTTCGTCAACAAGACCTGCGGCTAGTAGCAGAGGTCCCCAGGTTAGCGTGGCATCAACTGGAGATATCCACGAGTTACCCATAGCTATACCTCGTAGATTCGATTTTATTGTGCCTGCTTTTTCAGCCTGTAATTTAAACGTGTAACTTATATAAATATGTGAGGAACCGTGATATTTGAAGGAAAAAGTGCTCGTTTTGAACTTTAAAAGAAGATGAGTGAACAGAGTTAGATCCGACACTATCCTGCAAATGTTGTTTAAAAATGTAAGTACTAACTTACAACGAGAGGATATATTTGGAGGACTGATAACACGCATTGGGACAGCGATGAGGATTCTATCTAGCCATATACCTCCTCACGATGAGAGAATACTTGAACCTAATTGTGGGATCTTTTAGTTATATGAAATATTTTTAAAATTAAAATTAAGTTACATTTCCGATTTAGTAATGTGTACTGCAGTTTTCTTTATTTTTGTTATCTTAAGAATCTGTTGTCCCTCGCCTGTTTAATTTCCCTATGTCGCCGCTTACGGCACCCACGGGATGATATCGGAAAGTGGATTATCTTACGCCGCCACTACACGGCTTATTATTTGCTTTATTATTATGGAATATTATCTTGTTCAATCCTTCGAGGAAATAAATTTATTTTCGACGCCGTCCGTTGTTTTCTGTTTTCTGAGTGTTCTTAGGGTTTGTTTAAAGAAATTTAAATAATTGAAAGTCAACTTTTTTATTCCTTGAGTTTACTCCATAAGCACCGATTTTGATATTATAGTCATAGTCCGCGGTACACAAAAAAGATCGGGAGCGAAATCGAGTCTTAACAAAAAGTGAAATGGTTTGGTTGGCCCTCCGCGCAACACATTTGCGCATCTTATACACAACGTGTGTAAAGAAGGCGATAATGGTTGAATTCATTTAATACCTAAAAGTTATAATAAAAAAAAAATACAGATAATTTTAATGTTTAAAAATATTAGTTAATTCTTCATTCAAATACAAATATACTAAGTTGTAATTGTTATGTATAGTTTCAATAAGTTGAATTTTTTTTTCAACATACAAATTGATTCATTCAAATTTCCAATAAAAATTTTCTTCCTTCAAAAAAACATTCATTGTCTCGTTAGGAAGAAAATTGCAAAGACAAAATTGCGAATACATAATTAATTAAAAATGTTCTCTCGTACTTATAAGTTGCTTTTTATTTAAGTCTTTATGTTTATGTTGCTATTTTTATAAGTTCGACAATAAACCGCTTTAAGCTGGGGTCTTTTAATTTAATAACGATATACTCGTACAATATTAAAGTTTTCATTTCATGAATTTTTAAATAATTGTTGTTCTTTTTCTTTATTTGGAATTTTTATAAATTTTGTCATTAAACTGTTTGGTTGCTAATATACTAATATCGGGGGGCACGGCAGTGCCCCCGCCAAGTCGAGCGCGAAGCAAACACTGCCGTACCATCCTTTACTGGAACCGTTTCGCCGCATTTTCAGGCCTCTATTTGAGAACCTCCGGATAAGACCAGAACGCAGAAATTTTCGTCATCCGGTAAGCTATAATCACATACTTAAAATTTAAAATTTCAAGTCTATAGGTCATTTAGTTCCGAAGTTAAGCGAAAGCAAAGTTTCGCATTTATGACACTCACTCACTCATGATCATCAGAATAGAACTAGTACTTCCCATAAACTCAGAGAGCTGAAATTTGGTACAGAGTTAGGGTTTAATGGCCACATGAAGGGAAAACTATAAAAACTAGGATAATCGAAGATCTGGAGTACCTGGGGACCCTGATTGGGAAACACAAGAGCCCAACCAAACTATTAGAAGAGATCGACATACCGCCTTTACAAAAAATATTCAACTTGGTGGGCCGCTTCATTTGATGTCAAAAATCGAAGTTCTGAAGTATCCTCAGCAGATCTCAGATGTATTAGAGATATGGTAATGCCTCCTTCTACTATTGGTACATAAAAAAAAATACGTGTACAGAGAACAATTCCCAATCTGTGTGGCGTATGCCCTAACAATTCATAAGAGCCAAGGTCTAAGTCTAAAAATGCCCTCATGGACATTGGCACCTCCATATTCTCTTGTGGCCAAGCCTACGTGGCGCTTTCACGAGTAACCAATCTTCATGGGGTGCACCTCATAAATGTTGACTTCAAGAGTATAAAAGCTCAAGCTTCAGCGATCACCGAATACAACCGGCTTAGGCGTAAATACCGCGCCGATCTTTCAGAAATTAAACCGTATAAACCGTCTAAAAGAATAAATAATGAACACGAACGGGCAATACGAAAAACTGTTGCTACTGTACAAGAATCAGAACCGGAAAAAAAGAAAAGAAAGATTTGTAATAATAAAAAAAACTACTCCTAAAAAAATGTGTCAAATAAGAAAATCTAATAAAATAAATCATAATATGCCCACGTTTCTACAAAAAGCAGTGAAATCCCACCAAAAACATTCTGTAAAAAAACTAGCCAAGTCTCGATGGAGCTGCTTGTTTATCTCTAAAAATTAATGAAATCTAGACAAAGTCGTGCCAAGTCTAAGGTTCCTTACTGCGATTTCTTTATTATTATAGTTATTGTTGTGTGACTTGGCCGTTGTAGGGAACACAACGGTACAAAACCAGGTGCTATATTGCATACACACCATTGCACCAATCTGTCGCCAGAACCACTACCCATTGACGATGGAAAATTGCCACTTGGAAAACGTTGATTGAATAACCAGTCAATTGTAGGCTTGATAAAGCTGCGTATTTCAATAATACTTTTGTATAGGCGAGCCTGAAACAAACAGTATAAAAAATTATTTCCAGTACAGGCGGACTTCTAATCATTGATAGAAGTCCGTCTGTACGTCTATTTTATGTTAGATCGGTGGTCGATTTGACGCTCGAAAAAGAAGAGAGTAGAAGTCAGCATTGTGAACGCTGAATGCATGTGTTGCACAATCAACAACCGCCTAAAATGAGACACTAGCGTCCAATTACCAATACCACTATGGGCTATTATCTCGCTTAACAAACATAAGTAGTTACAACAGATATAACATTACGTGTAAACACAATTACGTGCAACATTACGTGTAAACGCAACTTTATCAAGCTTACAATTGACTGGTTATTCAATCAACGTTTTCCAAGAAGCACTTTTCCATCGTCAATGGGTAGCGGTTCTGGCGACAGATTGGTGCAATGGTGTCATGTAGCGCCTGGTTTTGTACCCTGTGTACCCTTCAACGGCCAAGTCACACAACATTAACTATAATAATAAAGAAATCGCAGTAAGGAACCTTAGACTTGGCACGACTTTGTCTAGATTTCATTAATTTTTAGAGATAAACAAGCAGCTCCATCGAGACTTGGCTAGTTTTTTTACAGAATGTTTTTGGTGGGATACTTATATACAAAAATATTTTACTTACTTCATGGATTAAAATCCCAATATCAATAGCCATTTTTCCTCCATACGATTGACCGTAAATGTAAAGAGGAACTCCTTCAAATTCAGGATGAGATCTATAAAACCCGCGCATCAATTCCAGAAAGTCTTCAGCTGTGGACACACAGTTTATTTTATTGATAGTTCATTGAACTTTTTAAATGAGTAACAATATAGTTTAAATTTACCAATTTCTATATTTGTCGTTGTCAAGTATTTTGGGTCATCGACATAACTGAAACCTGTACCCACAGGATTGTCAACAAAGAGAACGTTGAAATTTTTTACCTGAAATGAGATTTTACTTGTAGAGCTTAGTGAACAATTGTAGATTAACAGATAAGGAATTATTGCACCTTTTTGTTATCCAAATCGTATTGGTATTGGTTAACCTATTGAATGAATAATTAAAGGAATTTTGGTTTTATTATGATTAACCTGTACTGCATTCTGAACCTACATCAAACGTGACATACAGAGAAGATGTTACTTGCATGTTGTTTGTATTCAGCCGTTCAGCGTCTCAGTATGCGAATAAATATGTTGTGTAAAGGCATCCCGTAGGAGTCCTAAGAGGTAGCTCGGGATATAATGCCATAGGGAATTCGTAGCTTTGGATACATAGCCTTAAATAGACTAGCGATGTGTTGCTGCGTCAAAAACATGAGACGTCTGGTGAATAAACAATACATTCCACCAAGCGTGGTGACTGAAACAAATTGTCCCAGTAACAGGAGAGGTGTTTACTTCACAGTAGATTTTTACGAGTTGACGTAGAAGAAGAATGAGATCAAACACAAAATACATTGCACAGCTGAAAATTTGGAGAATATGTACATGATAATTATAATTATGTCCTTCGGAACGAATTTCGGTCACGGCGGCCAGCCTCAACGGAGATAAGCCACTAGCGCAAGACAGGATTATAGTACCCAAGTGGCGCCACAAGCACAGGTGCACTCTCTATTCCCTTACTATCAAGGCACGGGGGTAAAACACCTGCAACTTCCTGACTCCGTCCCGAAAATTTCTTGACAGAAAAATTCAATATAACAGATTTTTTTTGGCCCGACCCGGGATTCGGCACCGTGACCTTATCGTCAGTCTCGTTTACAAACACTAGATCAACGAGGTAGTTGAAGGCAAATACATAATATTAATTTGATAAATTAGCACAATGTACAGTTTTAGAAAGGAATGCTACAGTGTTTTATTCACGTAGAAAGAATTAATGTAGAAAGGGTGACAAAGTAAATTTATTTTGCAGAGGTAAATAGCAGAGCTGGCAAGGGACGCCCTAGATTGAAGTATATCGTATATTGAAGATAGGCCAAATTAAGAGTATCCTTAATCACCGAGCTTGTATGCATTAGGTATTTGGTACTATATATATATATATATATATATATATATATATATATATATATATATATATATATATATATTAGGTATTATATAGTTATTTGGATCAAAAAGAGGCGAGCGAGCTGTGTCAGGATCGTGTCAAATGGAAATCGTCCCTGCCTACCCCTCTGGGCGACGGGTGTTAGTTTTTATGTATTTTTTATGTAAATTAAATATAAAAAGTTTATTTTTGTTTTTCAAACCTACCAGCAGGTAGTTATTACATTAATAATCTGTGCAAGTTATATATTATAATTTAAAAAAGACATCTAAACCAAAATTGTTGAATCCAATTAATTGGAACGAAGTTCTTTATCGGACGGTACGGGTTTGGCGGATGGGAGCTAAGCGACAAAAAGTGTAAGATTTTTTCGTCACTACCCCTTGTGTCATAGTGTAGACGACCTTGGCGGCGAAATAACGAAGTGTGATGGAATAATATCCATCTCCCTCGCATTTTTTCCTACCTTGCCATGAAAGAAATATTATTTTATTTCAAATGACGCTTCATTTTAATAGACGCTAGTAATTCATTTATTTGTATATGTTAATCAATAATATAATACTTACGTTTATCAATAATAATGTACTAAGGAATTTCGTTCCAACCGAGTGTTCCACGACACTCTCGCATTTTTTTCTTAAGTTTTGCATATAATTACTTTTTGCATTTCTTAATATACAAAGTGTGAATTCTTACCCATGTATAATTCCTCTCTCGTAAAGACAGATCAAGCGGTCCCAAAATATCAAAGTTGCCGATTCCAGTGGAAGAACCTCCTGGGCCACCTTGCAGCCATACTACTAAGGGGCGATCGGTATAATTTTGGACAGAGGCAGTAGTATAGAACAGCCAATAGAACATATGTGCTCCTTCACGTACAGTAACGTAATCAAAGGCTTGCCTGAACGGTCCAAACTGAGCTGAAAATATTTTGATTATAGGTTATATAAAAATTAATGTTTGTTTGTTCGTATTTTATGCGCTGCCATATCGTTCATCAGATTGCGCTAAAACTTTGTCAACTTATTGCTTGCACTTGCGTGAAAGTTATAGGTACAGTATAGACAATTAACTTACAGTAGGTGGCGCGCGTATCGCAACAAAATTTTATTCGAAATTTATTTATCTTTCAACTTCTTTTTTAATCTTACAGCACAATTAAAAAATAAGAACTATTTTCAAAGATGTCTTTGTATTATTATGGGCTGATGAGAACTTTCAAGTAATAAATAATAGGTAGAACAGATTTCGTGAAATTCACACAAACGTCTTCCTAATAAAGATGACATGAGATTGGGCGGCAAAATTTATTACAGTCTTTATTAACAATAATATGAATCCGTTTATTTATGTCTCCATTTTAGTATGAAATAAATTATGAACTATTTTAATTTTTAACGTAAATCGATTTCTGTATTGTATTTATCTATTTATTAAACTTAATAAATTTTGAGTTTGTGATTTGGCTTACCTTCAACATATTGATTTGTAAAAAGAGTAAGAAGTAATAAATAAAACAACATTATTAGAAACGTTAGACAAATGATACTGAAGTGTAAAAAGAACTTATCAGTTGATATAATTACATAGATATTGCACTGCATTATACGCCATAATTATCTTAATCAGTTATTAGAGATAAGCATGTCACGATTTTAATTTTATATTGGATTTGTACAAATTACAATTATGGTAGCTCAGGATTATGTAGAAACTATTGGGTATAATTGTGCTCAGGGGCTTGTTTCCCGAATTAAGTTAATTAAAAATAACTGAGTAAGTGGTGCAAAAATGAGTCTCTGAGAGATGACTACGTATTTGCGCCATTTGTTGTAGAGACTATCGGTCCGTGGGGTTCACGTGTGGTGAAGTTTCTGTAGGAACTCTATCCGTGACTGGTCGTTTCTGCTGGTGATAAGAGGGCTGGTTCTTTTCTCGCTCAAAGGCTAAGTAAGGAAACACAGCCAGCGTTCTTGTCACGATGCCACGGGGAGTAAGACTGTATGATAATTAATTTATTATTTTTAGTTTTTTTTCTATAAATTTTTAATATTGTATATATTTCAATGTTACTTAAATAATATATGTAAAGGTAAATGAATTTAGTATATAACATAAAGTAAAAAAAAAACTAATAAACTATAGAATCTACGTTGGATGAAATTTTCTATTTCAATAAAAAAAAATATATTAACAATCATACCTAATAAGATATTGATAGTTACGTTGCAGCTATATGGCTGCAGCTCGAATGGTTTGCCTTGTCCGGGAACCAGTGACAAGGCTCTTACAGAATACCAGCGTAAATGCCGCCGTGTTTCTTATGGTGAGTGTAGAAAAACAGAGACCTTTTTTACTGGTAAGGAGTCATTCCATCTTGGTCCTCAAGGGTGAGAATGCATCTGCGATTTGATTTTCATAACTTTCTCGTATTCGTACCAGAGATAGAATGCCTACAATGTAAATAAGAAGCAGACTGGCGATCACTGTAGAAGTCACCTAACCTATTGGCAGTGCTGGCTGGACACAGAGCGCATCTCATTTCTGAGACTTCGTATGTCTTCGAAAATTTTATTTAAATTCACAGAGATGCAGGTTTCAACCTGACGTTCTCTTTTACCACCGAGAATGTGGTGAATCAGCACTTAAATTTTTAATATATTTTTGTTCGCGTATTGTGAAATCTACGACGAGCATTTAGTTAGGCACTCCACGGCTTAATTACAGAAAATCTTTCCAAATTTGGACATATGGAGGGAAATTTCCAGAAATGAGGCGTTATAGCTGAGAATTACCAAATTAAATCATTAGTTTAAATTTGAAAGTAAGCAAGCAACCCAAGTTCCAACTCTGCCAGCTCCACGCACAATACTATTTTACACGTGGTAGAGTCACGCTGCAGCTATATTATATGGTTATAGCACTACTGGGTTAGCTTGACCGGGGAAGCTTCATTTACTCACAGAACACCAGCGTAAAATAGCAGCTCAATTTTGCAATGTTTCATATGGTGAGTGTAGAGAGCCGGTAACCCTTTTTACTGGAAACGAGACATTCCATCTTAATATTCAGGGGTGACATCCATCTCCATCTCAATATTGATTTTTAATCGGGGATAGATGTAGATGTCTATGAGACACAGCATCCACTAACCGTCAGGTGAACTGTGTGCTTGCTTGTCACTCTTTTTCTATAAAAAGGAAAAAAATAAGACGTAACTGTACCGTTCTTATATAAATCTGAAAAGTGCCATTTTTATCACTCACTGATTCACTGATTCACTCATCAAAGATCGTAAATCACTGCTAAATAGAAAATTTTAATTTGGCATCAAGGTATATCACAAAATATTTCGGACATACATAGGCTGCACTAAAAGTATCGGGAATGAAATATTTCCACTGTTCCTGTCATATTAAAATCTTTTTAATTGAAAACCCCTTGGTTTTAAAAATCGAATACCATTTATTTATTTAAAAAAAGATTCTCGGTCTTGTCACAAGGTTTTGTCAAACTTGTTTAGTCGTTGAGAAAATGGAATTGACTCGACAGTGTGTTGACCGGATGATTTCTGCATTTGGTGATGAAGCCCCATCTAAAACCACAATTTATCGCTGGTTTGCTGAATTTCAACGTGGACGTGTCAAGCACAGCGATGATCCCCGTCAAGGTCGTCCAAAAACTGCAGTCACCCAAGAAAACGTTGAAGCTGTGCGTAAGCTGATTGAGGAAGATCGACATGTGACATACCCCGAAATTCAGGCAACTAGAGTCAAATATATATAATCTTGCATGAATAATTAGGTGTAAAAAAGTTGTTTTCCCGATGGATACCGCATTCGCCCTGTGAAGAGCAAAAAGCGGCTCGCGTTACTTGGTGCGTCAGAACTCGCGAAAGATTCCACGCAAGATCCTCAAATGCTGTATATAACATCGTATCAGGTGACGAATCCTGGATATATGCGTACGAACCCGAAACAAAAAACCAGTCACGAGTTTGGGTGTTCGAAAATAAGTTAAAGCCAACAAAAATTGTTCGTTCACGGAGTGTTGCAAAAAAAATGGTAGCCACGTTTGTCTCCAAAACCGGTCATGTTACGACTATTCCTCTTGAGGGCCAAAGAACGATTAATGCAGAATGGTATGCTAGTATTTGTTTGCCACAGGTCGTTTCTGAACTCCGTAAAGAGAACTGCAACCGCCGCATCATCCTCCATCACGACAATGCGAGTTCTCACACCGCACACAAAACAAAAGAGTTTTTAGAGCAAGAAAACATAGAATTATTAGACCATCCGCCGTACAGTCCCGACCTAAGCCCTGATGATTTCTATACTTTCCCTAAAATAAAGAATAAATTGCGTGGACAGAGATTTTCATCACCTGAAGAAACTGTGGACGCCTACAAAACGGCCATTTTGGAGACCCCAACTTCCGAATGGAATGGTTGCTTCAATGATTGGTTCCATCGTATGGAAAAATGTGTCAAATTTCGCGGAGAATACTTCGAAAAGCAATAAATACATTTTTAAATAGTAATGTTGTGTCACTTCCTTGATTCCCGAAATTTTTAGTACCGCCCTCGTATTTGAGGCAGCTAATAATTGGGGCAGCGCGGAGGACGTTTTCTTACCCTAAAACCCTTTCAGAAATAAGATGAGGCCTGTATCCTTTTTTACATGGGGAAATGCTTACGCATACCTACCTCGCGGGGGCAAGGACAGTTTATGTCGGACTCGTACCGACTAAAACGCCATCGTGTTCCACCTTCGCCGCATATTGGCAGGACCACGGGAGCGCTTTCGCACACATCCGCGGCCTCACCAGCACCGGCCGCTACATGGCAATCCCTCCTCGGGAAGGAATTCTCCTCCCCCTTTTTCTTCTCAGGTAAGGCGCACCAGGAACACAAGGAACGTGTTCCTCCGCGGCCTCTACCTCTACCAGCGTAACGTTCCTCTCCGAGTCCGATACGCGAAGGCTATGAGGCCAGAAAAAACGCGCACTCGGAAGCACTATGATGTCGATGATAATTATACTCTTTTGGCTGATTTTCACTATGACATTAAACTTTTAAAATTATCGGAAGTTCTTAACTGCGCATAGTTTATTACCCTGCGACAAGTGATCACGCAAACATAGGTGCACTTGCTTATCCTGACCAAATCTTATCCGATGTAAAGCTTATGCGTAAGTACCCAAAATAGGAAGATCCAGCTCCTTTCACTTGATCTTACTTAAAGACATTGCATCTGTTTCTGTGTTATTCGTATATACTATGGGACTGCACAGAGGAATTGTTCGGATTAAGATATTACATTCCACCATCGAACATCGTGTCGGAATTTTAAATGTCATCGATATTATTTCGATGATTGGCAGTCCATTAAATTGCGCTTTACGTCCAAATTGTGGAACGTACTGTCGCCAGTGGATTTTCCGGACCGATACGACTTAAGTTAAAAAAAAAAGAGATACTACTTATTTTTAAATTACCGGCAACGTACCTGCTCTAGTATTGCAAATGTATATGAGTAGCGGTCATCACGTGAGGTTCAAGCTCATTTGCCTCCCCCTTCTATAAAAAAACTATGTAACTTTACGCGTAGTTATTGTAAATAAAACTCGATAATTTTTCTTGCAGCATCATCCATTTCAAATATATTAAGCAAGCAAACGCGTGACTTTGTTTTTGTAGCCTAACGGTTTTATTTAATAAAGCTTTAAAGAATTTTATAAATTTATAAACACAATTTTATTATTATTTTATTAAGACACTAAAATCTTCGATAGTAAAATGATTTTTTTTTCATTTACTGATGTTTTTTATAGGATAAGGATGACAAACGAGTCCCGCTGGGTTTCTTGCTGATGCTTCCCAGGACAGAGGTTTTTTTTCCTTAACCAGCTGTAATTCAACATAAGAGTGACTTTTAATAAGTATTATTTAAAATCTATATTGAATAAAAAAAGTTTCTGTTTCTGTTTCTCCCTAACGCCCCTTGATCTTTAGTAGAGAAGAAGGCGAGGGCTAGTATGTATAGTATCAACGCCCAGGGCGGTCTGACCTTGCTTTCCAACAGATACAGAGAGAAACACCGACTTTATGCATGATCTCATGCATCATGTGTCCACTGTACACTTTTAACAAAATGTATATTTTCCTCTCCCTATCGAGACGTGGCGGGTAGTGCATACACGTCGTGATTATTTTGAGCTAATAAAATAATTAAACGTGGTTCTTGTACATACAAACAGTATATTCCTATTTAAGATAGCACTAAAAAGTGATACTAGTATTATTTACATTTATTACAGAGTCAGTGTGATTAAAATATCATTAAAGTCTATCGTAACATAATCAACTTTTCCAATCCGCCGTTATATGTACCCGCAACAAGTAAAATGTTTTACATTTATGTATTCTTAACTCAAGCGTCGCTATAAATATTATATTGTGTAGTTAGCGCAGTTTGGCGAAGTTTACTATACGGGAACATATTGTGATAATTAAATTAAACAT